TTGCGCGGGCCTGCCGACCTCGAGGGAAGCATTGTGCTCGCCCCCATCGAGGGCGTTTGTAAGCGAGCGGCAGCGCCGCGGTCGTCGCCGACCCTCCGCTACACTTGCTGCGCCGCGCGCCGGGCCTGCGACTCGCGCCTCTCGTCGCAGCGGAGACCCCCGCGCTCCCAGCCCTGCGTGATCGAGACGCGCCCGTCGGCCACCGCGCTGAGATGCTGCGCCGCTCGTCAGTTCCCGCCGTCGGCGCGGAGCTGCCAAATGGCCCCGCGCTGCGTCGCCCGCGCGACCGCGGCCTCCGCAAATTCGCAGCGCGGAATGTCGTCGACGGCGGTCGCCAGCACGCGCGCCCCCCGGTCGTTCCTCTGCGTGGGCGACCTTTTCGCGCTCGCTATGAACGCGCTTGTGAGGTACGCGAACATCGCGGGTATGGCTCCGCCCGCGCGCCCCACCTCGCGCTGGCCAAGATGCTCGCGCATCTTCGCCAGCGCGCGCTCGGCGGCGTCGCCCGGCATCTTCTTCAAGGACCACTTGGCCAGCCCGCGCGCGAAGATGCGGGCGGAGTGAGAGCGCGCCCTTGGCACCCCAGTCGACGCGCTCGCTGCGCCGCTCGCGCTCCGACTTGAGCTTCCGCCGCGACCTTTGTGCTGATTGCCAGTGTTCTTCTCGCGCCTCTTGACGGGGGGCCTCTCGCGCGCGCCCGCGGCCGCGGCGCCCTGATGAGAAAGCTCGGCCTCAAGCTGCTGCTGCGGGCTGCCTGACCTGCCCCATTCGCCATAATCTTTGCGCCAACCCCTCCGCGCGGGCGCCGCGCCGCCCCCGGGCCCCGGGCCCCCCCGGGCCGTCGCGCCCGCCCAAGCTGCCTCCAGGCGCGGCGCCTCTGACGCAGCGATCTTCCCACTCTCTGTCCGTGGCCAGGCTGCCTCGGAGGGCGCCAGGCGGCCCCTGCACCCCAGCCTCGCGCCCGCCGCTCGCCCGGGCGCGGGCGCCGACTCCGCCGAGCCCCGTCTCGTCACCAATCGCTGCGCTGCCTCCGCCTGCGCGGGCGCGAGGGGGCGGGGGGTGGCCCCGCCCGGCCATGGCGCGGGCAGCCCTCGCCTCCTCGCTCGGCGCGTCGACGACCTCCGCTTCGACAGCCGCGATCTCGGCGCCCGCATGCGGCGCGCGCGACATCTCGGCGCACCTCCACCTCGACGCGCGTGCAGGATCGCCCTGTTGAACAAGTTAGTCCCGTTGTCAAACGGGCAATCCGTCGGTTGATCACCCTGAGCACAGAAGTGGATGAGCGGAGGCTGCGCGCCCTTGCCTGGCCGCTGGAACGACTGCTTGAGAAATTGCAGGTCGTCCTCGCGCACCGAGCAGAGCCACTCGCCATCGTGGCACGGGGCGCGGGCCATCGTGGCGCGGGGCAACTTGCCGCCAATCTTCCTCGTGGCTTTGATAATCCCGAACCTCGAGTTGCCACTCTCGCAGGGCGCCTCGATGATGGCGCGCCTGTCATTCAGATGGCCACGCGGGGGCCAGCGGTTCCCCTCGCGAAGCGCCTGCGGCGTGCCGAAGGTTGCGCCTGCCAACTCACCTCCTCCCGCATCGCGGCACTGGCGGGCAAGCGATTCCTCTCGGGGGGACGGGCCGCCCCCGTTTCGGGGCACCCCATCCGCGGAAAGCGGCCCCAGAATCGCACCCGCGCGCGCGCCGGCACAAGCGCCTGTTCGACCCAGACGGTTACAGAAGGCAGGCAGTGCGAGGGTCGACCAAACAAGCAAGGACGACTTACTACCGCGGTAAAAGACCCAACGATTTGCAGCCTGCCAGTAACGCGAGGCAGGTGTGATAAAAGATGGGGGCCATGAAACGTTCTTCGGGTGAGCCGAACTGGGCGCGGCGCCGCCATGCGGACGCTGCCATTGGGACCGTCGGAAGAGCTCCCTCTGGTGCCACGAAACATGTAAGTGGTGTGCCGACAGGGGCGCGGTGCTGCCATGCGGACGTTGTCGCTGCGGCGTTCGGCACAGCTCCCCGTGGGGCCGCGAAGCGTGTGAGGGGTGCGCCGACGCTGCCGCTGAGGCTCGCGGGGTTCCTCAGGGAGTCCCACGCGCGGCTTTGAGCCAAAATGTATGCGGACCCCCCCCCCCTCCTGGGGCGTTCACTGGGGGGCCCGATCCTCAGCGTGCTGAAGAAAACGAAATTACTCCGACGGCAGGGCCCCGCATGAGAATCCTCTGGGCGAATCTGGACAAAGCCATCACCGGAGTCCTCGCGTTTGGTGAGGCGTCCTGGCTGTCTCTTCTGCGAATATTTCTTCTCGCCCTGGCGCGGGCCCCCCCCCGCTCCCTACGTTGCCCGACCTCGCCCTCCTGTTTTTTTTTTTCGCGCCCCGCCACCTCCTCGCCTTTCCATTGCATGAGCGCGCATGTCGGTTTTCCTTGGCGCCGTCGCCGCCTCGGCCAGCACAGGCGCGTTCTCTAATGGCCACGTCGCGCAGCCGTCGGGACAACCCCGCGGGCCAGGCTGTCGGGGCGACCCCGCGAGCCGCTTGCGCGCAAGACCAAGCCGTTGGGACAACCCCGCGGGCTTCGAGCGGGGCGCAGCCGCGCTCAGGCGGGCAGCGCGAAGCCCAGCTCTGCCGCGAGCTGCTTCGCCTCCGCCCTGGACCAAACCGCTCTCTTGTCGAACTCCAGGAGCGCCTTCCGCGGGGACGCCGGCGGCCCTCGCTCCAAGAACTCCCGCGGCGGCGGCCGCAGGATCAGCATGTTCCGCGTGCACGTGGCGCGGGGGGGCATGACGTAAAGGCGCAGCCACCACTGCTCGTCCGACATGCCCGTGCGGCCAGCGCCCTCGTCTCTAGCGCAGTCGACGGTGACGCCCTTGCGCAGCGTCTGGCCCTGCGACAGCGCGGAGGTCAGGTAGGGCGCGTGCGTCAGGGTGAACCCCGAGCGGCGCACGCTGTGCGCCCCCGAGCTCTGCCATGTGAACTCCCTTTCGCTGGGCCTGAACATCAGCAAGCTCCGCGCCCGCGCCCGGGCCTGGCCGTCGTCCTCGGCGTCTTCGGCGCCCTGTCGCAGCACCTCGGCGACCTCCTGGTAGATCGGAGACTCCTTGAAGACGTGCACCTGCAGCCAGATTCCCTGCGGTAGGAAGCGTGGGCGAAAGAGCTGGCCTGCCGAGCACTCCTCGTGCCGCTGCTCGTCCTCGAGGTGGAACTCGAAAGACACGATGGTGGCCCGTTGCTCCAAAGAACGAATGTTGATCGTACTGCGAAGCGTCCCAGTGGATACGTGCCGGAGCACGACCCAGAGGAAGCGCACGGGAGCGCGTCCCAGTGGATACGTGCCAGAGCACGACCCAGAGGAAGCGCACGGGAGTGCGTCCCAGTGGATACGTGCCGGAGCACGACCCAAAGGAAGCGCACGGGAGTGCGTCCCAGTGAATACGTGCCGGAACACGACCCAGAGGAAGCGCACAGGAGTGCGTCCCAGCGGATACGTGCGAGGGCACGACCCAGAGGAAGCGCACAGGGGTGCGTCCAAGTGGATACGTGCGGGGGCACGACCCAGAGGAAACGCACAGGGTGCGTCCCAGTGGATACGTGCGGGGGCACGACCCAGAGGAAGCGCACAGGGGTGCGTCCCAGTGGATACGTGCCGGGAATAGCGCTCTGGGAACACGACGAACACAAAGTGGCCTACAGTTGGCCCCGGACATTCAGAATGTGGCCCGGGAGTGGTGTTCAGGGAACACGAAGAACACAAAATGGCCTACAGTTGGCTCCGGGTATTCAAAATGTCGCCGGGAATGGTGTTCGGGGAGTACGAAAAACACGAGTGGCCTACAGTTGGCTCCGGGCATTCAAAATGTGGCCTGGGAATGGCGTTCTGGCAGCGCGAGGGCCCAAAACTGGCGACAGTTAATAAAATTTGATGACCCGCTCGGATTAGTAACATGATCCGCGGGCCCCATGAGGAGGGGGCTCCCGCTTGAGATTTCCTCGGGGCATTCAAAATGTGGCCTGGGAATGGCGTTCTGGCAGCGCGAGAATCCAAAAGTGGCGACAATTACAGGAATTGGATAACCCGCTCGGATTAGTAACATGATCCCCGGGCCCCATAGGGAGGAGGCTCCCGCTTGAGACTTCCTCGGATTAGTAACATGATCCGCGGACCCCATAGGGAGGGGGCTCCCGCTTGACACGTCCTCGCAATTCACTCACAGACGAGGCCCAAGGCGAGTGAGTGAGTGAGTGAGTGAGTGAGTGAGTGAGTGAGTGAGTGAGTGACTGACTGGTGATGATGATCATCATCACACTCTCTCACGCGCACATTCATCATCATCATCATCATCATCATCATCATCATCATCATCATCATCATCATCATCATCATCATCATCATCATCATCATCATCATCATCATCATCATCATATGTGAGTTCATGAGCGTGTGAGTGAGCGAGTGCTGATGAGTCAGTTAGTGAGTGAGTGAGTGAGTGAGTGAGTGAGTGCGTGAGTGAGTGAGCTAGTGAGTGGGTGAGTGAGCGCACGAAGACAGAAGAGGAGAGGGGGTGATGTGATGAGGTTCCTGCGCGGGGTGTCCAGAGAAAACACAAAACCCACTTTGGATGTGGAGAACAGAAAGTGCTAGCCAATACTCCCATACGCGTCTGGCCAGGCGGTCCGCTTTGAGGGCGAATCACCCTTCACAAGCCAAGAGGGCAACAGCTTGCCAATCCTGGTGGGGGCATGTCATGTATTAGAAAGTTCAAAGGAAGCGCTAGAAAGTTCAAGGAAACTCTTTACCCCTGACCCCTCCACCCTCCTCCTACCCCCCGCCTCCTCCTGAGGCTCCTCCTGAGCCTCCTCCTAAGCCTCCTCCTCCTCCTCCTCCTCCTCCTCCTCCTCCTCCTCCTCCTCCTCCTCCTCCCCACCCCCTCCCCCTTCGCCAACTCCCGCCGATGCTCCGCCCTGGCGGCCAGAGGAGGGGAAGGCGCTGGCACACGAAGAGGTCCTGGCACACGCGCCACAGGGCGGCCTCGTCCCACTCCGACGGGACCTAGCCCGCGGTTGGGGAGGGCAGCCCCGCCGCCCTGGAGTGTCACCAGAAACAGGCGGGGCGATGGGGAAGAGGGCCTCGTCCTCCTCGTCCTCGTCCTCGCCCGCCTCGTCCTCCTCCTCGTGCTCCTCCTCCTCCTCCTACTCCTCCTCCTCCTCCTCCTCCTCCTCCTCCTCCTCCTCCTCCTCCTCCTCCCCCCTTTCCTCCTCCTCCTCCTCCTCCTCCTCCTCCTCCTCTTCCTCCTCCTTATCATGATCATCCTCCTCCTCCTCATCATCCTCCTTCTCCTCCTCCTCCTCCTCCTCATCATCATCATCATCATCATCGTCACCACCACCACCACCACCATCATCATCATCATCATCATCATCCTCATCATCATCATCAGCAGCAGCAGCAGCATCATTATGAGTATCATTTTCATCTATATCAACACACATGTCATCATAATCAGCATCAGCATCCGCATCATCATCAGCATTATCATCGTCATCAACATCATCATCAACATCATCATCATCATGAGCATGATCATCATCATCATCATCATCATCATCAGCATCATCATCATCAGCATCATCGTCATGAACATCATCACCATCATCACATCACCATCATCAGCAGCAGCACTATCATCATCATCATCATCATCACCAGCATCACCATCATCATCATCAGCATCATCACCATCATCATCATCATGAGTATAAGTTTCATCAATATCACCATACCTATCATCATCAGCAACATCATCAACATCATCTGCATACTCATCGCCGTCATGGTCATCATCACCATCATCGCCATATTCATAATCAGCAACATCATGATCATGATTATCATCATCATCATCATCATCAGCAGCATCATCATCGTCATTATCACCATCAGCAGCGACATGGTCATTATCAACAACAGCAACGACGTCACCATCATCATCAACATCATCACCACCAGTATCATCCACCCACCACCACCATCAACATCGACATCGACATCATCGTCATCATCATCAGCATCATCATCATCATCACCACCGTCATCATCGTCATCATCAGCATAATCAGCATGATCATCAACATCATCAGCATCATCATCATCAGGGTCGTCGTCGTTGTCGTAGTCATCATCATCATCCTCACCACCACCACTATCCTCGTCGTCATGATCATCGTCATCACCATCTTCGTCGTCATCATCTTCATCATCATCATCAGCAACGTCATCAGCAACAGCATCCGCACCATCACGCACCACAACCACAATCATCATCATCATCACCACCATCATCACCATCATCATCAGCATCATTATCGTCGTCGTCGACGTCGTCATCATCATCAGCAGCAACACCATCACCATCACCATGATCAGACTCATTATCATCAGCAGCAGCATCATCATCACCCAGCACCACCACAACAGTCGTCATCACCACCACCATCAAAAACCATCATCATCAGCAGCATCATCATGACCATCATCATCGTAATCAGAAGCAAGATCATCGCCATCAGCATCATCGCCATCATCATATCATCACCATCGTCATCGTCATCATCACCATCATCCTCATCATCATCATCATCGTCGTCATCGTCATCGACATCGACATCGTCGTCGACGTCATAATTACAACCATCACCGTCAACATAATCATAATGACAATGCTCGTCATCATCATCATCATCATCATCATAAGCATCATCATTCTCGTCCACCACCACAAGAACCATAATGATCGCCACCACCATCATCACCGTCATAACCATCATCATCAACAACATCATCACCATCAGCATCGTCATCAGCAGCAGGATTATCATCATTATCAGCATCGTCATCGTCATCATCATCATCACAATCGTCATCGTCGTCATCGTCATCATCATCACCATCATCATCATCCCTATCATCATCATCAACATAATCAGCATCAGCATCAGCATCAGCAGCATCCGCATCAGAATCAGCAAGAGCAGCATCAGGATGAGCATCATCGTCATCATCAGCATCAACATCATCATCAGCTTCATCGTCATCATACTACTCCTCCCAATGCCCCCCCCCGTCCTCCCCTTCGGGTCCCTCCTTCTCCGCCTCCTCCTCCTCCTCATCCTTCCCCTCCACCTCCTTCTCCGCCTCCTCTTCCTCCTCCTCCTCATCCTCATTACCATCATCATCATCATCATCACCACCACCACCACCACCACCACCACCCACCACCACCACCACCACCACCACCATCACCATCACCATCACCATCACCATCATCATCATCATCATCATCATCATCATCGTCATCGTCGTCATCGTCATCGTCATCGTCATCCTCGTCATCATCACAATCATCGTCATCGTCGTCGTCATCGTCGTCGTCATCGTCATCGTCATCATCAGCATCAGCCTCAGCCTCAGCCTCAGCATCATTAGCAGCAGCAGCAGCAACATCAGCATCAGCGTCAGTATCTGTATCATCAGCAGCAGCGTCATCATCATCAGCAGCATCACCATCATCACCATCATCATCAGCAGCAACATGGCCCCCACCACCACCACCATCACCATCATCATCATCAGCAGCATCATCATCATTACCACCATCACCATTACCATCACCATCATCATCAGCATCATCATCACCATCATCATCATCATCACCATCACCATCGCCATCACCACCACCATCATCATCATCATCATCAGCATCATCATCAGCATCATGGCCATCACCATCATCATCACCACCAAAGTATATCATCATCATCATCAGCATCATCATCATCATCATCATCAGCATCATCATCATCATCAGCAGCATCAGCATCATCACAACCATCACCACCATCATCATCACCGGCATCATCATCAGCAGCAGCACTACCATCATCATCAACATCATCAGCACCGTCATCATCATTACCATCATCATCACCACCACCCTCATCATCATTATCAGCAGCAGCAGCAGCAGCAGCAGTAGCATCATCAGCATTATCAGCATCATCAGCATCAACATCAACATCATCATCAGCATCATCACTTCATAGCATCATCATCAGCAGCATCATCATCATCGTCATCGTCATCGTCATCGTCATCGTCATCATCATCGTCGTCATCATCATCATCATCGTCATCGTCATCGTCATCGTCATCATCATCATCACCATCATCATCATCATCATCATCATCATCATCATCATCATCATCATCATCCGCCTCCTCCCCCTCCTCCACCTCGCTCTTTTCCTCCTCCTTCTCCTCCTCCTCCTCCTCCTCCTCTCCCTCCCTCCCCCTCGTCCTCCTCTGGGAGGGCGGGGCGGGTGGAGGACTGACGAAGGCCAAAGAAGGGTGCAGGGTCGCCTGGAGGTGTTTGGGCTCGAGATGTCGAGGAGTCCAGAGCCTCAGTCCTCAGTCCTGAGGGGTCAATTAAGGGCCCCGAGCCCACATTGCCAAATCTCTCGGAATTTGGCGCGGCCCGTCGTGGGTTCCCGGCGTTTTCTCGCGTAGTGCTTTTCCGGGCCCACAAGGGCCCTCAGACGGGCCAAGAGGGCTCCAAGAGGCCGCCAAGACGGTCCAAGAGGACCCCGAGTCGGCGAACGATCGCCCCAGGACGCCCGAGATGGCCCCCAGACGGCCCAAGAGGCTGCCCAGACGACCAAAGATGCCTCCTAGAGGCTGCCACAGAGAGCCCCGAGAGGCCAACAAAAATGTTCCTTGAAATGTTGAAAAGGTTTCTGGCTTTCTCGCCTTTTCGGCTTCCCGACGCTCCAAGGCGGTCTTATAGGCCCCCAAACTCGCCCCAAGACGGCCCAAGAGGCCTCCAAGGGGGCCCCAAAACGGCCCAAGAGGGCCCCAAGAAAGCCCAAGAGACGCCCAAAATGGCCCAAGAGGACCCCAAGACGGCCCCAAAAGGGGCCCAAAAGAGAGAACACGAACCGAAAATCCGAGCCCCCCCCCGCTCCGAGATGTCCCGAGGAGGCCCCAAGAGGCGCCCAGGAGGCCCCAAGAGAACCCCAAGAGGCCCCCAAGAGCGCCCAAGAGGTCCCCAAGAGGCCCAAAATGGCTCCCAAACGGCTTCCAAGAGGCTCCCATGAGATCCCAACGAACATCCAACAGGCTTCCTCCCCACAACCCAGGCATGTTGGCGGGATGCGCCGAAAACCATTAGATCCGCCGCCCCCTGTTGATTCATCACAGTGGTGCCTGGTGCGCAAGACCCTTTTCGGTTTTGGTCGGGGTTAAACTCCCCCTGGGGCTTCGGCCCGTCCCGCCGGCCACCCGAAAGGGATCTCAATCCCCAAACAATCCTCCAAGACGGCTCAAGATGGCCTCCAAGATGGCCACGTTGGCCCAAGATGGCCTCCAAGATGGTCCAAGATGGCCTCCAAGTCCGCCCAAGATGGTCCAAGATGGCCTCCAAGACGGCCCAAGAGAGTCCAAGATACCTCCAAGTTCGCCCAGGAAGCCTCCAAGACGGCCCAACAAGACCCAAGAGGTCTCGAAGAGGTCCTTCAGGAGGGCCCGAAGAGGCCAAAAACATTGGTCATCCTTAGGTTTGTGAAGGATTGTGGCATTTGCTTCTTCTCGGCATTCCGACGGCTCAAGACGGCTCAAGAGGCCCCCACGATCACCCCAAGATCGCCCACGAGGCCCCCAAGATGGCCCCATGACGGCCCAAGAGGCCCCCAAGACGGCCCCAAGAAGGCCCCAAGACGGCCCAAGAGGCCTCCAAGACGCCCACGATGGCCTCCAAGACGGCCCTGGAGCACCCCAAAAGGGCCCCCAGTCGGCCCAGAGAGGCCCCCCAAATGCTTCCAAGACGGCCCAAGATGCACCCAAGACGGTCCAAGATAGCCTCAAGATGGCTCAAGATGGCCCTAGAGGCTCCCAAAAGGCCTCCAAGACGGCCCAAGATGCCTCTACGGGCCAAAATCATTGGGTGTCCTAAGGCTTTTGAAGTAGTTTGGCATTTCCTTCCCCAAGGCGGCCCCAAGAGGGCCCCCAGACGGCCCAAGAGGCCTTCAAGTCAACCCAGGGAGGCGCTCACGACGGCTTCCGACAGAGTCGGACGTGCCAAGAATGCTCTGAGACGGCCAGAGAGGTCCCCGAGCAGCACCCAAACGCCCCCAACAGGCCCAAAGAGGCCCCCAAAATGCATCCAAAAGGCTCTCAGGAAGCTCACATGAGGCCCCAAGAATGCTCCCAGAGGCTCCCGAGATGCCCCCTCCTCCTCCTCCTCCTCCTCCTCCTCCTCCCTCCTCCTCCTCCTCCTCCTCCCTCCTCCCCTCCTCCTCCCTCCTCCTCCTCCTCCTCCTCCTCCTCCTCCTCCTCCTCCTCTCCTCCTCCTCCTCCTCCTCCTCCTCCCTCCTCCCTCCTCCTCCTCCTCCTCCTCCCTCCTCTCTCCTCCTCCCTCCTCCCTCCTCCCTCCTCCTCCTCTCCTCCTTCTCCTCATCCTCCTTCTTCTGCTCCTGCTCTTCCTCCTCTCCGCCTCTCCTCCTCCTCCTCCTCCTCATTCTGCTCCTCCTTCTCCTCCTCTTCCTCTTCATCCGTCTCCTCACCCTCCTCCTCCTGATCTGCCCCAAGTGTTCCCCGAGGGGCTTCCACAACGGTTGGGGGAGCACATGGTCCGATAGCGCTGCAGAGCTCTTGCCACAAGGCTCGGACACATGGGCGATGTCAAACCTCTTGCTCCCCCACGCGTTCCCCGATGGCTTTCCAAACCAACTCGGGGAACAACTGGCCCGATTGCCTGGCCAAGCTCTAATCCAGCTGTCGGCCACATAGGCGCTTCCACAAGGGCAGGGGGCGGCCGTGATTCGCCGTAGGCGTCTTTAGTCTATATGATAATGTCCTATTCCCCCTCCTGTCGCGTAACAACCCACCTGACAATCGCACTCACCTTCCACAAGCCCAGTTCCTTACACCTGACGTGTCGGCGGCGTTTCGGCTGAGACTTCCTCCCCAAATAAGATCCCGAGGATCAAAACTTCCAACGGTTACAATAATGGAGCAAGGTACCGTTCCAAAGTGCGGCACTCGCCTTGGCCCTGCGCTCCCATTCGTCTTCCGAGTTTGCAGCAGTTACAAGGATGGATGGAAGACGATTTCTTCCTAGAAGATTGTCTTCGCCCTAGCGCAACACCTATTCGCCTTTAAGACATTCAGAAGTTACAAGGATGGAGTGCGCCACCTCTGGATATTGGACTTTTGCTTTGGCGACACACGCACATTCGTCTTGAAAGCTTGCGACAGCTACAACGATGGGGAGGGCACCTGCTCAAAATGGGGCTCTCACCTTAGCGCCGCGCACATCTCGTCTTACAGCTTGCAGCAGGTACCAGGGTGGCATACACATATCCTGTTCAGAACGGGGCTCTCGCTCGATGCTTCTCTCTCTCGAAGTGGGGCTCTCGCTTGAGACTCGAACAGAGTGGCCAGAAGAGTTTGAGGGGGCGGCTCCTTTTTGAAAGGGGGCTCTTCATGGACACTCTGTGTAAACGTATGGTCCCACACTGCCTATTCCTGAACATTTTCTTTGGGCGGAGGGCTCAGGGTGAAATCCACATGGGCTTTCGCACCTCGACAATCAATCCGTCTTGTGATTCACTTTTTGCAGATTCGAGCCGCAAAAATCAATCGAAACGGCATTTCAGATTTCACCCTTCTCGGGGGCGCGCAAACATGGATTAGCGATCCATGGATTTGGCGCGCGGTCGCCCAGTCCATGGATCAGGGGACTTGCCCTCCCCAAAATGCGGCAAATGCCGCCTCGCTCGGCGGCGGAAATCCGCGATTTCCCATGGAAACGGAACCCGCCGCTAATCCACGCCCCCCTTGATCCATGCTTGCGATCGCCTGACCTTTGCCCTCCACCCAGAGAAAACGCTCGGTCTTCGTTAGAAATTGCCAGGAGGAATGCAGGCCGGTGCCTTCTCAGCACGGTGCTCTCACCCGCATGGCAGGCCCAGCGAGTGCTCGTCCTTCAAGGGAGCGCTTCTTGCACTCAAGATGGGACGGGAGGTTGTGCGACCGCATCGTTGATGCATGCTGGGATTACTCTGGTCCTCCTCCTCCTCCTCCTCCTTTTCCTCCTCCTCCGCCCTCCCGTCCCTCCCCAACCTCCTCCATTCTCCTCCAACCCCCCTTCCTCCTCGTGCCCCGCCTGGATCGACAAGGCCTGACCTTGCCCTGGAGGGCACTAGCAGTTTACTAGCGTCCTCCTCCTCCTCCTCCTCTCCCCTTTCCACATTGTTCCTCCTCATCATTATCATCATCATCTTCGTCCGCATGCCAGCATCATCCTCATCCTCCTCCTCATCATCATCATCCTCTTCCTCCTCCTCATCGTCATCATCATAATCTTCATCATCCTCATCCTCACCATCACCAACATCATAGCCATCATCAGCATCATTAACATCTTCTTCGTCTTCATCATCATCAGCAGCAGCATCATCAGCATCGCCGTCATCATCACTAGCATCATCATCATCATCATCACCACCATCATCATCCTCATCACCACCACCATCATTACCACCATCATCATCATCACCATCATCATCATCATCATCATCATCGTCATCATCGTCATCAGCATCATCATCGGCATCGCCATCATCATCAGCATCATCATCATCATAATCATCATCATCATCATCATCATCGTCATCTTCATCATCATCGTCGTCGCCATCATCGGCATCATCACTAGCATCATCATCATCATCAGCATCATCATCATCACCATCACCATCACCATCACCATCACCATCACCATCATCATCATCATCATCATCATCATCATCATCATCATCATCATCATCATCATCATCATCATCATCATCATCATACGTATCATCATCTGTAGGATCATCAACATCATCAGCATCATAATCATCATCCTCATTCTCCTCCTGATCCCGCTGCTCCTGCTGCTGCTGCAACTTTTCCTCCTCCTCCTCCTCCTCTTCATGCTCCTCCTCCTCCTCCGCCTCCTCCTCCCCTCCCTCGCTCCCCGCCGCCGCCTCGGTGACGTACAGGGCGTTGTTGTTGTTGTTGTTGTTGTTCGCGCCGCCCGCGCCGCTGGCGCTGCGTGCCTGGCCACCGCCCGAGCCGCCTCCAGGCGAAGGGGGGTAGAGCTGTTGTAGAACCCTTCCCGCTATCAGTGTTGTTGCTGTTCCTCCTCATCCTCATTTCTCAGTGTTCCTCCTCGTCCTACTCATGTTCCTCCTCTCTTTTCCTGCTGCTCTACTGATTGCTGTTTCTCCTCTTACTATTAGTACTGTTATGGTTTCTCACCTTCCTGCTCCACCTCCTCCGCAAGACCTGCAAGAGCCCCGCTGGAAACTTCGGCGCGTGGGCCTGGTCCAGGATCCTTACAGGACGCCACCCCAAACACAAAGGTGCTACGATTCTAGCGGAGGGGAGCCGGGGTCCGCTCCAACCTTTTAACGCGATTGGTGTGTTGTGTCTTGCTGGAGCCTCTGTTCCACCACGTCCAGGCATTTCGAAAGACCCAACACTCGGGGAGATTTGAAGGTGGTTGAAGCCCGACTGTCTCTCCTGATTATCCTCAGCCTACTTCTCCTCCTCCTCCTCCACCTCCTGCTCCTCCTCCTCCTCATACTCTTTCATCCCCCGTCCTCCTCGTCCTCCTCCTCCTCCTCCTCCTCGTCCTTCAGCTCCTCCTCATCCACCTCCTCCTCCTCCTCCTCCTCATCATCATCATCATCATCAGCATCATCATCATCAGCATGAACATCCGCATGAGCATCAGCATCACCATCACCATCACCATGATCACCATCATCATCATCATCATCATCATCATCATCATCATCATCATCATCATCATCATCATATTCATATTCATATTCATCTTCATCTTCAGCATCATCACCATCATCATCGTCGTCATCGTCATCGTCATCATCATCACCACCATCATCATCACCACCATATTCAGCATCATCATCAGCATCATCAGTATAATCATCAGCAGCATCAGCATCAGCATCATCACCATCACCATCACCATCACCATCACCATCACCATCATCAGCATCAGCATCATCAGCATCATCAGCATCATCAGCATCATCAGCATCATCAGCTCAGCATCATCGTCCCCCACTGGTCCTCCTCCTCCTCCTCCTTCTCCTCCACCCGTCGTCCCCATCGCGAACTATCCTCGACGCACCACAAAACGTGTCGGTCGGGCGGGTTGGGCGGTCCGCCTGATACGTCGTCACACCTCTTCAACAGCAGCGATATTCACCAGGATGGAGATCGGGCTGATGTCAAAATATGGCTCGCGCCCAAGCGCCGCGCAGTCGTGTCAAGCTTGCTACAGCCAATCGGATAGAGGGTGGGCTGTCTTCAATATATTGCTCTCATTTGGGCATTGCGCGCACTGGTGCTAAAAACGTCGTAGTCGTCCTCCTCCTCCTCCTCCTCCGCCTCCTCCTCCTCCTCCTCCGCTCCGAGCCTTGGAGGAAAAAGGGGGGAAGGAGTAGGAGGGAGGATAATGAGGAGGAGGAGGAGGAGGAGGAGGAGGAGGAGGAGGAGGGAGTGTTTCCTCTGAGTCTCCTGGCGCCCACAAGGTTTGTGGGGGAGGAGAGGGAGCAGAAGGAAGAGGAGGAGGAGGAGGAGGAGGAGGAGGAGGAGGAGAGGAAGGAGAAGAGGAAGGAGGAGAGGAAGGAGGAATGGATGAGGAAGAAGAAGAAGACAAAGGCGAGAGAGAAGCAGGAGGGATGGAGGAATGAGGAGAATAGGAAGGAGGAAGAAAAAGGAAACAAGGTGGGATGGACGAGGATGGGCGGAGGAGACGGCAGAACAGCAACAACGGGAGGCCTCCCCAGCCGTCGCCGCCCCAGCCGCCGCCGCCCCAAGCCGCCATCGCCCGCTGACCGAGCCGGGCGCCGCAGCGCGGGTGCCAGCGCGACGCGAAGCGGCTGTCCCGGCGGCGGCATGGAAGACGATGACGCCGCCGTCGACGACGGCGTCGTCGACGGCGGCACCTGCACTTCGCACGGGATCAGCCCGAGGCACGCCTCGGCGACGACGCCGCCGTCGAGGACTGAGGGCAGAGAGGAAGAGGTTCGGGAGGAAGGCTGAGCAAGAAGAGGAGGAGGAGGGCGAGAACACCTTGTGCCCCCCCTGGCCCCGGCACACTCGCGCGAGCGCGCGCACACGCGCGGCGCGCGCGGCGCGCGCGGCGCGCGCGCGCGCGTCTGGGCACCACGGCGATCTGCCGGCTGCACTCCGCCTGGCTCTCGATGTGCTCCTGGGCCTCCAACGCTGGGGGGAAAGCGATGACGACACCGACGAGGACGACGACGACGACGATGACGGACGACGGCGGCGGCGACGGTGACGGTGACGGCGACGACCACGGCGACGGCGACGGCGACGGCGACCACGACGACGACAACGACGACGGCGACCACGGTGACCACGGGGGTCACAACCTCGACGCGCGTCGATCTTCAAACGAAAATGCAACCTGGCGCTAACACACGTGCCGTAATTCCCATGTGCGCTTCCTCGATCCAGGGGGCGACCGCGGTGCGGCAACGTGAACGCCCCCTGCCGTCGGCCCGAAGACCCCCCAAGACGACCCCTGAAGTCATTGTTTCTTTGCACCAGATCGCAGTCCAGTGATAACCCGAGAAAACTGTTAAGACCCCGCGCTGGCTTATCGTTAGCACCCAAGCGAAAAGAAATAGCCCGTGGGTGCGGAGTCAGCGGAGCGATATCTTTTGGCACCGCACCAAGCCGCAACACACAAATAATGATTGCCCCCCCTTCGACTGCAAATACTCCTCCTGTTCACTCCTTCGACCG